AATAAGTAAAATAACAAGAAAGATCAAACTGAAAACTTCCACTTGTCTTAATTTGCATAGGTTGTGTAATTTACACACACAGTACTGGAATGTTGTATTACAGAACATAAAGTTAGCAAAGTACAGTAGGTACATTAAAGCACCAAAAACCATAGTACTGTACTGTAGAGTGTACAAGAAGGAAAAAGGATATTTAAAATACAGTAAACAAAAAAAACAAAACAAACAAAACAAAAAAAAACAAAATTCAGGCTATCATTTTAGTCAACGAATCCTTCAAAATCTTCATCTGTGTCATCATCAGAGCTATTATCAGGAGCTGCTGAAGGCCCAGGTAAGGGACACGATGGAGTAGAAATTGAAGCATTGGTAGTGCTTGGGTGTAACTTTCCAAAAGTATCCACTTAGAGTGGTCTGCTTTGTCATTTTCTTTTTTTCTTCATATATTTCACGATAGCACTGTAAAACTTGACTTATTTGTCTTTCCACCTTTGTGAATCGTTCAACATTCGGATCCATACTCTCTAGTTGGAACATAGCTGCATTCACTTTTGAGAACACACCAGCTAATCCCTTCACAGTAAACTTCTTTGGTACTTCTTCCATGTTTTCATTTTCTTCTTCCTCCTCCGCCAGGTTCTGCTGTGCTTCCAACTCTATTAAATCTTCGGTAGTTAGCTCTCCCTCCCTGTATTGCACTAATTCCTCAATATCTTCCACCTCAACTTCTAAATTAAGCACTTTAGCAAGTTCCATAGTTGTTTTATTTATGGCATCAACATGTTCATCTTTCTCAAAAACTGCAACATTGTTCAAAAACATTTTAGGCATTTTTTCCATATGCCTTGCATACACTTTTCTGTCACTCCCTTCCAAGCGGATTCAATGTTGTTTATGCAGTCTAAAATGTTGTAAGATCTCCAGAAATCACGGAGAGTTACTTCATCATTTTCTGTTGCTGCTACAGCTTTGGAAAAAGTTGTGCGTAAATAGTATGCTTTAAATGTGGCTATGGCCCCCTGGTCCATTGGCTGAAGGATTGAAGTTGTGTTTTTAGGTAGATATACTATCTTTACATCTGGGTTTAGGTCATCAAGATACTGGGGATGGCCTGGAGCATTATCAAGCAGGAGGATAATTTTAAAAGGAATGCCCTTTTCTTGACAATAATGCTTCACTGAGGGTATGAAGCAGTGGGTGAACCAATCTTCAAATAAAGCTTGAGTCATCCATGCCTTGTTATTTTGCTCGGGTAGTAAACAGGCAGTGTGTTCTTTCTAACTCTGCTCAATGCACGTGGGTTTTCAGAGCGATAGATAAGCAAAGGCTTCAACTTAAACCCGGTAACATTTCCTCCCAACAACAATGTGACCCTGTCCTTAAATGCCTTAAAGCCAGGCATTGTCTTAGCTTCTTTGTGTATATAGGATCTTTCAGGCATTTTCTTCCAAAAAAGTCCAGTTTCATCCACATTGAAGATCTGTTCTGGACAGTAGCCACCTTGCTCTATGATTTTATCAAATTGGTCAACAAAATTTTTCTGCTGCTTCTACATCTGCACTTGCTGCCTCACCACTGACACTCCGATTATGCAGCTTGAATCTTCGAGAAAACCGTTTGAAACCATCCGTTACTTGCTGTAAAGGTTTCTGTTGAACCGCTGCGTGCTTGCAAAGTCTCAAAGATATTGAGTGCCTTGGCTTGAATTATTGAAAGGTTCAATGGCATTCTTTTTTTGAATCTGGTCATCAAACCAGATAGCCAGTAACTTCTCCATATCATGAATTAGGCCTTTCCGCTGTCTAGTTATTATGGCTTTAAAGCCTGTTGATGCTTTCACTGCCTCTTTTACTCTATCTTTATCCTTAAGGATTGTTGAAATGGTTGAATGTGCCAGATGCAAGTCATGTGCTATCTCATGGACTTTTTTGCCACCTTCACAATCCTTTATGATCTTTATTTTCTTCTCAAGATCAATAGCCTTCCTTTGTTTCTTGGCATTTTCTGGTGCAACCTTGCTTTTTCCTTTTTGGAGACATCTGGGGTAAAGTACAATACAGAATAAGGCACCCAGATCACACACAACTTGTATGCTTGAAGAAAAAGCTTTATAAATAGTTACACTGTACTGTACATACTGTAATGTACTATATCTGTACTGTATACAGTATTGTCACACTACTGTGCTGTATTGTGTGGGCCTGAGAGAGATCCTGGACTGTATACAGTACAGTACAGTATAGCTGTTTATAAAGTTTTTTTTTTGCATCGCAAAAAAATACAGTAATTTACAGTACTGCTGAAATGTGAATACTGACCAGGAAACCAGCAGTACCGGACCTCAGAATAGTGTACAATTTCAGCCATGAATGATGAATGACTTTGAGACGCAGGACCGCTACCACGTTTAGCGCGTAACCACGTTTTAGCACGTACCGTCGGTGAGATGGTCGTAAGTGTGAGCGGTCGAAACGGTGAAGAGATGGTCGTAAGTGCGAGTGGTCGCTAAACAGGTAGGTCGTTAAGCGAGGAGTGTCTGTATAGTGTATTTGCCATGCTTACATGTTTGACATTCACCAACCTCCTGCTATTATCTTATATTCATACACCAGAAATGAAATGAACACCCTTAGTATTATGTGGCATTAAGGAACAAAACTATACAATGTAAATGTTTAGCAACATCTCTGGTGTGACTTGTTATATCAGGAAACAAAAATGTCCATAAAAAGTCAATAAACAGAATAATTTTGCAACAAAGGGAGTTTCATGTGCTTTAAACAATGATCACCAGCGTAGTAATGGTATGTACCAGCTGAGTACAGGTCTTACTCATCTCAACTCATCATCACATTTTTAATAATACTGACATTAGAAAAAGGTAATGTGTTTACCTATGCACAGAGTGATAGAGGAGGTACACTGACCTAAATGGCTGCGCTATTGTTCTTTGGCTTCTGAATATTTTAACAAATCATGAAAAATATCAGTGCTATCTGTGCTTTGTTAGGAAAATGTAGCATCTTCCCTTTCATTTAAGATGCTCTTGTGCAGGGGTTCTTAACAGGGGAGTATGTAACCCAAATGATGGGGGTATAAAACTGGATCTCTAATTAACTACAACAAATGCTGTTAGATTACATCATTAACTAAACCCTTTGGACCAGTGTTGCCAACCTACCAAAGTTCACACAGCACTCAAAATGTTCTGACAGCCAAGTTTTTACTGGCATTTCCAAAAGTCACAACATGACAGGTTTAAGTGCAAATTTCAGTATTTCAGCTACAAACAGGTCACATATGCAGTTAGCAATGTGACTTAAAGTAGATCTGAAGGCAAAAAAAACATTTTCAGCATAGTAAGGGCAGGTTATTGAGAGAGAGACTGCTCCACACTGCCCTGCCCCAAGAAAGACTGGTCCACATTGCCCCACAGAGAGTGAAAATGCTCCACATTGCCCCACAGAGAGAGAGAATGCTCCACACTGCCCTGCCCAAAGAAAGACTGCTCCACATTGTCCCACACAGAGAGAGAATGCTCCGCATTGCCCCACAGAGAGAGAGAATGCTCCACATTGCCCCACAGAGAGAGAGACTGCTCCACATTGCTCTGCCCAAAGGAAGATTGCTCCACATTGTCCCACACAGAGAGAGATTGCTCCACATTGCCCCATAGAGAGAGAGACTGCTCCATGTTGCCTTGCAGAGAGAGAGAGAGAGAGAGACTGCTCCACATTGCCCTGCATAGAGAGAGAGACTGCTGCTCCACATTGCCCTGCATAGAGAGAGAGACTGCTCCATGTTGCCCTGCACAGAGAGATTGCGCCATATTGCCCCTGACAGAGAGACTGCTCCACATTGCCCTGGACAGAGAGGGAGAGAGACTGTTCCATGTTGCCTTGCAGAGAGAGAGACTGCTCCACATTGCCCTGCATAGAGAGACTGCTCCATGTTGCCCTGCACAGAGAGACTGCGCCATATTGCCCCTGAGAGAGAGACTGCTCCACATTGCCCTGCACAGAGAGAGAGAGACTGCTCCATGTTGCCTTGCAGAGAGAGAGACTGCTCCCCATTGCCTGGCATAGAGAGACTGCTCCATGTTGCCCTGCACAGAGACACTGCGCCATATTGCCCCTAAAAGAGAGACTGCTCCACATTGCCCTGGAGATAGAAATAGACTGCTCCACATTCCCCTGGAGAGAGAGAGAGATTGCTCCACATCAGTATAGGGCTGTCTTAATGCTTGGGTACCTCTGGGCACTGTCCAGGGGTCCCAGGTGCATGGGGGCCCCATGATAATCTTGCATTACATCATATAAATCATACTTGCCAACTTTCATGGATTTTCTGGGACAGTCACGCATTTCTACTAAGCTATCCTGGGATGGCCCAGGAAGCATCCCAGAACCTGCACTGTGCCTCGTGATACCAGTATTGTGCCCTTCTGCCTCTCCCCCCCCCCATACTGTGCCCTTTGTGTTTGATTTATGTCATGTTTTCTTATTGTTTAACCGCTTTCCTGCTGTCCTATAGTAGAACTACTGCTACAGGGCGACAAGGCTGCGCAAAATCATGTATATACACGTGATTTGCAATTCTGGGTAGGGGGCGCATGCCGATCTACACAGGTTGCCATTGGCGGCCATGGCTGTCGATCACTGAGTCCCGGCCGTAGATTCCCCACCGGCACCCGTTGTTCCCCGACTAAAACTGACAGGGGAGAGACCTGTGTGTAAACAACACAGGTCTTTTTCCTGCCAGCAAGGACATGCTGCTGTGTATTTCTCTGCACAGCAGTGAAATACACAGCAGCATGTTTCCCTAGAAAAACACACACAGCACACCCAGCAAAACAGCACACAGTTAACCCTGTGATTGCCCCAGATGTTAACCCCTTCCTGCCCAGTGTCATTAGAACAGTGTCAGTGATTTTTATTAGTACTGATCACTGTATTAGTGTCATTGGGATGTCAGTGGCAGTTAGTCAGTTCCCTCCCGATGTCAGAATGCCCACCGCAGTCCCACTATAAGTCGCTGATTGCCACCAATACTAGTATAAAAAAAAAATTCCAGTATATATACTGCCGTTTGTAGATGCTATAACTTTCACGTAAACCAATTAATTTACACGTATTGTGATTTTTTTTAGCAAAGACATGGAGCAGAATACATTTTGGCCTACGTTTATGAAGAAATTTGATTTTTTTAAATTTTTTACTAATGTAAAGAGTAGGTGCAGCGCTGAGATCAGAATAATAAAATACAATAAAGTGCAATAAATCCAACAGATTGCAAAATCAATCATAAACCAGCAAAATAGTTATAACACCAAGGTTATCTATAAAGTGATAATAGTGCTTATAAAGTGACCATAGATAATGACATTTATGAGCCCATAAAGTGACAAAGTGATTAAATAAAGGTAATGCTACTCAAGGTCGCTATTAGTGCTAGTAAAGTGACAAAGTCCAAAATCATTGATAAACGTGAAGATCCAATCAAAGAGATCTCAGGGTATGGTGATCCACTTCCTATCTCCAATTACATAATGGTGTGTCAGATAATAGAAAAATTGCGCACTCACCAGAGATGCGCAATAACATCACGCATTTGAGAACACAAATTTCTCAGTAGGTCAGCTGGATCCTCTTAAGGACATGTACAACCTGGTATGGACTCCCCTCTGGATCATCCGTGGTTCGCAGCACCTCTATCCTCCTCCTTAATATAGCTCTGTTGGTGGTTAGGCTCACAAAGAGCCCAAAGAAAGGATGACAAATAGTGTGATACTGCTACAGAGGGTTTATTGCTTTCCAATCACTGGTATATGACAACAACATTAGAACTGACCATGTGCATTCAAAGATGGCCACCAGACCTGCAAGAGGCCTCGGCGGTGTTACAACGTTGCTGCTCCATACTGACGCGTTTCGTGCTCTAGCACATACTCATAGGGGGTGTGTCTGCAACATCTGACGTCCTGTGTCTCTTATTTATAGCAAAAATGGTGCCTGCGCATATCGCGCCCGCCATTTTGCCGACTATTCGGCGCCTGCGCATTATGCCGGTGCCATTTTGTTGTGGATCTTTTACATAGCATCACCAAGGAATGATCAATTAATTCTTGAGAGTAAGTGCATAAATTGGGGCAGGCTGGTAGGGGCTCCAGTGCATTACTTTGCCCAGGGGCCCATGATGCTATTAGGACAGCCCTGCCCACACTGGCAGGGGTAGGAATTGCACTAGCTTACCATCTATGGTGACATCCCACTCACTACTCTGGGAACTTCTAGCAGTTACCTAGGCCTTTACACTGCCCACTCTTACTACAAGATTTTCTGACCCAATGTCGATACCTAGTGGTCAGTTTGTGGGACTACACCGAGCACTCCTGTGCCCCTACCCTACACCTTTTCACTGCCAGAGCCCTTTTTGCATATGGCACACATTTAAAAATCATTTTATGGCTGAAAACTCCAAAAACATTATATCTTTTCTGAAAGTAGACACCCTAGAGCAGGGGTCGGCAACCCGTGGCACGCATGTCAGACATGGCATATTGCCACATTTATGCTGTGCAAATGAAGGATGGGAAACCAGACACATCAACACAGCCAGGCACGCGATGCTTGTGGCTTACTATAAAGGAAGGAGCCCAGCTCCCTTTTTCCCATCCACCTCCATTCCCGTAGACACCCAACATATCATCAAAGCCAGTCTCCTGATCCTTGCGGCTGGCTACACAAGAAGGAGCCCGTCTGCCTCTCTCCCACCTCCAGTCCCGTCCACCTCTGTTCCCGCCCAACTTTGGTTTGCCTTCCTTTTAGCTGACATACAGTATACATACAATGCTCTGTTCGGCCAATAAGGCATGCTGCGCCCTCCTCCATGGGTGCTGTGCAGATCCTGCTGAACTGCTCCTCCCATCCTCACACAGGGCACTCAGCAGATCTTGTTCTCCCACACACCACATAGCTGAAATCAGATTCTTTTATGCAAGGTGCATAGCTGTTTGCTCTATTACTACTCTGACCTTTGAAATCTCCAGATGGGAACAGCAGCAAAGCTGTAGTAACCAGCTACACACTGCGCAGATGGAGGCTGTGTCTTTAAAAGAATCTGATCTTAGCTATGTGCTGTGTGGCGAGGAGGAGATCTGCAGTGTGCCCTGCCAGCAGTGACCCCTGCTCTCTGCCCCACTGACCTCTGAACCCTGTATGCTGACCCCTGTACACTGCCCCGCTGACTACATCCTTTGCCCTGCCGAGCTCTGCCCCACTGATCCCCTCTTCTTCCCTGCTAACCCTAGACCTCTGCCCCACTGACCCCTGTATGCGGTCTTGCTGACCGCGTCCTCTGACCTCTGTCCTCTGCCCTGCTGACCCCAGACTTCTGCCGCACTGACCCCTGTACAGTGCCCCACTGACTTCGTCTTCTGCCCTGCTGACCTCAAACTTCTGCCTGGCTGACCCAAGACCTTTTCCCCACTGACTCCAGTTCTCTGCCTCACTGACCCTTGTACACTACGCCAGTCTTTGGCCCTGCTGATTGCATCCTCGGCCCTACTGGACACCGTCTTATGTCCAGCTGACCCCTGCACTGCTGAAGCATGTTAGCTGCATGATATGTGAAGCTGCAGAAATTGGGGTGATCTGGAGTCTGAAGGTGCAGGAATTGGACTTGATCTGCGGTGTGAAGGTGCAGGAATTTGGGTGATCTTAGTTGGTACAGGAACTGGAGTGATGTGAGGTGTGATGGTGAAGGACTTGGGGCTGCTCTGAGGTGTGAAAGCACCGGAATTGGCACTAATTTGAGGTGTGAAGGTGCATGCATTGAGGCTTGTTTAAAATTTTAAGCTGCAGAAATTGGGGTGATCTGCGGTGCTGGGTTAGAGGAATTTGGGTAATCTGAGGTATGAAGGTGCAGGAATTGTAACTGATCTGAGGGGTGAACGTGCAGGAATTGGAACTGATCTGAGGTTTGAAAGTGCAAGAATTGGGGTGATTTGGGGTGTGAAAGTGCAGGAATTGGGGCTTTAGATCTGCAGGTTCAAAAACTAGGGTAATCTGAGATGTGACGGTGGAGGAACTGAGGTTGATCTTAAATCAGATGGTGCAAAAATTGGGACTGATCTGAGGATTGAAAGTGCAGGAATTGGAGTGATATGAGGTGTGATGGTGCAGGAATTGGGACTGATCTGAGGTGTGAAGGTGCAGGAATTGAAGTGATGTGAGGAGTGAAGGTGTAGAATTTGGGGTGATCTGAGATGTGAAGGTGCAAGAATTGAGGAGATAGATGTGAATGTGTAGGAATAGGTGGGGATGTGAGGTGTGAAGATACAGGAACTAGGGCTAACCTGATGTGTGATGGTGCAGGAATTAGGGGGAGCTGAAGAGTGATGTTGCAGGAATTGGAGTGATGTGAGGTGTGAAGGTACAGGATTTTGGGTGATCAGAGATCTGAAGGTGTAGGAATTGGGGGGATCTGGGGTGTGAAGATGCAGGAATTGGGGTGATCTGATGTGTAATGGTGCAGGAATCAGGGTGATCTGAAGTGTGATGGTGCAGGAACTGGAGTGATGTGAGGTGTGATGGTGCAGGAATTGGAGTGATGTGAGGTGTAAAGGTGCAGGATTTGGAGTGATCTCAGATATGAAGGTGCACAAATTGGGAAAACTGGAGGTGTGAACGTGCAAGAATTTGCACTGAAATCTGAGGTGTGAATGTGCAGGAACTGGAGTGTTGTGAGGTGTGATGGTGCAGGAATTGGAGTGATGTGAGGTGTGAAGGTGCAGGAACTGGAGTGATCTGAGGTGTGACGGTGCAGGAATTGGAGTGATGTGAGGTGTGATGGTGCAGGAACTGAAGTGATCTGAGGTGTGAAGGTGTAGGACTTGGGGCTGATCTGAGGTGTGAAAGCACAGGAATTAGCACTACTTTTAGGTATGAAGGTGCATGTATTGAAGATTATTTGAGATCTTCAGGTGCAGAAATTGGGTGTGGGGATAGAGCAGTTTGGTTGATTTGAGGTGTGAAGATACAGTTATTGGGGCTTTAGATCTGAAGGTTCAGAAACTGGGGTGATCCGAGATGTGAATGGAGGAAGTGAGGTTAATAAAAAATATGATGATGCAGGAATTGGGACTGATCTGAGGTGTGAAGGTGCAGGAATTGAGACTGATCTGAGGTATAAAGGTGCAGGAATTGAGACTGATCTGAGGTATAAAGGTGCAGGATTTGGGGTGATCTGAGATGTAAAGGTACAAGAATAGGGGTGATCTGAGGTGTGATGATGCAGGAATTGGGGGGATCTGAGATGCGAAGGTGCAGAAATTGGGGTGATCTGAGATATGAAAGTGCAAGAATTGGGAAGATCTGAGGTGTGAAGGTGTAAAAAAAAAAAAAAAAATGACTATGGTAACATTGAACTACTCTTATGAAAGTATTTAAAAATATTAAAAATAATAATAAAATGTTTAATTAAAAAAAAAACTAAAATACTGTACTGCAATATTTTTTTTTAAACTACTTACCACCTGCCTGCCAGCCAAGCGGCGGCTCTGGGCAATGCAGCGTAACCTTATGTTGCTTTCTTTCCAGGTGTGAGTGTGCCAGTGTGAGAAGAGAGAACACTGCACTGTGAGTAAAAGCACTACATTTTATACACACACATTAGATTAGCACATTTAGCCCTTTGATCACCCTGTCACCCAGCCAGTGTCATTAGTACAGTGTCAGTATAGAGAAATTGTTTTATTATTCACTGTATTACTGCCACTAGTGACATCAGATAGTGTCAGGGTCAGTTATAACCCCTCCCAGCCAGGGTCAGCTAGTGTTAGATTGCCCACACATCACTGCAATCATGCTATAGGTAGCTGGTCACCGCCATTACTATAGTATAGTGTGTATATGGATCCTGGTATAGTTTTTTTCAGCTTTCAAGTAAAAGCAATCCTAATGGCCAATTAGCTGCTGGATCGCCTTTATAAGCAGCGGGAAAGGACATCTCCTGCCACCTTCCATGGCTTTCCTGGGCTCTCCCGTCCCACAAGGGAATTTGAGAATGCAGCCAGCAGTTCCACCAGCTGACCATAGAGCTGATCAGAGACCAGAATGGCTCCAATCATCTCTATGGTCTAAGA